TTTTATTAATTAATTTAGTTACAATCAGTAGTTATATTTTAAAAGCTAAGCTTCTCTTTTACCCCAAAAAATACTATTAATTAAGCTTCAAATTAGTGTAAAAGCTTAGCACAAAGATCAAAGTGTATTAAAGTTTAAAGTTAACAAAACAGAAGGTTTACAAAACCATTTTATATAAAAAGTTTAATTAAAAAATATAAAGTATATTAAAGCTTAAGTTGGCATTAAAGATCATATTTAATTAGAATTCTAAACCCAAGTATACTAAAAAAGCTTTCAGTTAAAAAACAAATTTAAAATATAGAGATTTGAAAAGCTTTAAATTATATTATGTGGCAACCCTACCCCACTAATACTAAAAAAGCTTTTAGTTAAAAGGAATATATATTTTATATAAAAATTTAGCTTTGCAATTAAGCTTGCGTGAGTGCTTTAAAGCTTAACTTTAACTTTTTAATATATAAAGCTAAGCTTTTACTTTTTATTAATACTTAAAAGCTTTAGATAATACGAATTATAAATTGTTGTTATATTAAAGAAATTTCATGAAAAGCTTGGCGTAAGCTTTAAAAAGCTATATTAAAAGCTTTTATTTTTTAGTTTTTTTAAGCCTTTGCTTGTTATTACAAAAAGTTCAATGAATTTCTTATAATTTTCAATTTTATTTATTTTAATTTAAAATTTATCTAGAAAAAAAAGCTTTAAAGCTAATATATTGAAAGGAAAAATTTATTGCCCTCAAATTCTTTCATCAATTCATCCTTTTTAATCGCTATATACTGTTTGTAAAGACGCTGTTTGCAAAAATTATACAATTCGATTTCATAACTAAATTGTCTTTTTAATTTTGCCTCCACGGCCGGTTCCAATTCCGATTTATGGGGTGTAGCATTTTTATGGAATTTATTAGAGTCGCCTAAAATAAAAAAAAAAAAAAAATGAGAAGGAGAAAAATACATAGATTAATATAAAAAGCTTATGACACAAAAGCTCTTACTGTAAAATATTTTTGTGGCATCCTTGAAAAAACGTGGTATATAATGTTCCAGTACAGTTAAAGTAATATTGGTATCCTCCCACGAGCCCACTACAGCATAATCCTGTTCTATATTATGTTTGGCAATTTGTGTGGCCGCTGGAGAATTGAAATGTCTAAGATAACAAGAGCTTATTAGAACATTTAAACACAAGAGATTCAAGCTTAAACATACCTGCACACCGGTTTATTGCCACAGAAATGTATAGCAGCTTTACGCCAGTCCGCATTGTATCTAGAATCGGCCTCAAATTTACACTCTTCTCGTTTAGCCTGCTTAACACAATCATTAAATGAAGTTTTGAAATAGGACTCATCATAATCTGTGCGATTGAACTTTTTCTTATAGAACTCATAGACGTCGGGACGACGTTTGAAATAATAGGCTGACATGATCCTATTAATGGGATATCTTATGAGATTTATATAAATCGGTTTGGGTAAATCGAATTGTGTAAAATTAATCCAATTTGTATGTTCCGAATACGACATGGGCTCATTGACTTCATCTAATTCTTCGGCTATGGCCTGTTCTTCTTCTTCCGTAATAAACGAAACGTATATAGGCATCTTCTCTATTTTCGAGAGCTTGAAAATTATTGGCATTTGCCAGCACTTGCAGTAAATGTATCATACTTTGAGAGCCTACTTTTTCTAAACGATTAAAGAAAATCCAATCCTTTTCAGCTTTAGCCGTATTATTTAAATGTTTCGGCTGCAGTGTTTGGAGCTTTTTTATTAAATTTTTTAAAGGTTTATGAAGAAAATCAATTAAAGAACAAGTTGTAAGTAAAATATTGTTGTTGCAGTTTCAACACTAAAATGCTATTAAGCTGAAAAAGCTTGGATGTTACTAATGTTACTAACAGATTTTTCTGTTATTTGCTTTACTAAAGGCAAAAGCTTTGGTAGTTTATACATATATAGTGTAATTAGTTAAGTTGTTTTAAAGCTTTATTAGGTTTAAATTGGAAATTTATTTAAAGCTTTATTTTACTTAAGAGATAAAAGCTTTTGTAAGCTTAAACAAAAGACATTTTCGTAACTTAAGCTTAAAGCTTTCAAAAAGTTTTAGCATAAAGTCGTTAAGAAGCATATTATTAAAAATAAAAGCATTCTGTTTTAATGAGAAATAAAAGCTTTTTTAAATAAAACATATAAATTCTAGTTAGAAAGAAATTTTATTGAGATCATATTCTAGACACCAAAGCTTTTAAGACAACTTTAAGCAAAATATTAAATAAAATATGTTGGGTTTTAGCAAAACTTTTCACTGAAGTGAAGAAGAGTTTATATATCATATTCTAAACTCCACAGCTTTTAAGACAACTTTAAGGAAATGATTTACTAAAGTATGATACATTTTGGAAAAGCTTCTAAAGAACTTTTTTTAACTGAAGTAAAGAGTTCACATGTCTTGACGGATGAGCAAAATCATTAGTACAAAAAGTTTTAAAAAAACTTTTTTAACACGAATGAACAATAGATAAAAACACTATAAAATTCACTTTAATCACTTTCTAAAGCTTTTTAAAGCTTTTACACATAAATATTTATGTTTTAGCACTTTTGAAAGCCTATTGAAAGCTTTTACACATATGTATGTTTTAGCATATTTTAATTTGATAAAAGCTTTTTTTTTAAATTCGTTGCATATTTATATCAAGGCCCCATAAAATCAAAGCTCTTTGACAGCTTAAACACAAATAAAGATATACGTTCACTTTTTTAAGCTTTCCGAAAGCTTTCTTTTAAATTTGTTCCATATTTAGACCAAAGCGCCAAAAAAATCATTCATTTTTCAAAACTTTTATACAAATTTATATTTCTAGATGAACATTTGTGGTCATTCCAAAAACTTTCTCTTAAATTTTGTTTCATATTTACTCTAAGCCTCTAAAAAATCATAGAATTTTCTAAACTTTTGAAAAGCTTTAAACAAACGTTAAGATATGACACAAATGAAAATATATGTTCACTTTTTGTTAACTTTCCGAAAGCTTTCTCTAAAAATCGTTGCATATTTAGATCAAAGCTCCAAAAAATCATTCACTTTACTCTATTTTTTAAAAGTTTTTACACATATGATAACATAATGTTCACTTCTTAAAAGCTTTCTAGATGAACATTAAACTTTAAAACATATATTCACTTTCTGTAAGCTTTCCGAAAGCTTTATCTTAAAATCGTTGCATATTTAGAACAAAGCATTATAAATTAATTAAATTTCCAACATTTTTTGAAAGCTTTTAAACTATGTTTACTTTTTGAAAGCTTTCTAGACGAACATTAAAGTTTAATGGTTTAATAATATTTAAAATTTTTATATTTTAGCTAAAGCTTCATAAAATTATGGAATTATCAAAGCTTTAGGAAAGCTTTTACCCATAGGTTTTAACATATGTTTATTTTTGAAAAGCTTTCTTGATGAATAACAAACTTTTATACTTATTTCGAAAGTGTTTTCTGGAATTGATTGCATATTGTAGCTAGCCTTCATAAAAATCACTTCATTCACTTTTCAAAGCTTTTTGAAAGCTTTTGCAGATATGTTTATAAAAGCTTGCTATAAGAACTATATACTCTAATGGTTATTACGAAAGCTTTCTCCTACAATCGTTGCATTTTCTTAGTATTATTCACTTTTTATAGCTTTTACACAAATGTCTAAACATATGTAAGTTCATTTTGTGAAAGCTTTCTATATAAATAATAAACTCTAATGGTTATTTCAAAAGCTTTCTCTTACAATCGTTCTATATTTAAACCAAAATTCCATAAAATTAACTTTATTTGCATTTTAAAGTCTTTTGGAAAGCTTTTGCACATATGCGTAAGCATAATTTTACTTTTTGAAAGCTTTCTAGGTCAGCAATAAAATGTGATGGTTATTATCAAAAGCTTTCTCCTACAATATTTGCACATTTATGATAAGACTCCATAAAATTCACTTCTTTCACTTTTCACAGCTTTTTAAAAGGTTTAGCACAAACTTAAAGATATTTTATTTTCCTAAAAGCTTTATAGATAAACTTTAAACTTAAACTGTTATTATGAAAGCTTTTTCCTAAAGCTTTAATTGCATTAATTGAAGACTTTTACATGAAAGTACACATTAATAATACTTTTTTATTAACTTTAGCGTAAAGCTTTTTGTTTAATTTTACATTTTAATTTTTAAAATTGTCTTCACGCTAAAATATTAAAAGGAAATCTATTATTTCCACCAAATTTTTTCATCATTTCATCCTTTTTAATCGCTATATACTGTTTATAAAGACGCTGCATGCAAAAATTATACAATTCGATTTCAAAAGCAAATTGTATTTTTAATTTTGCCTCCACTTCCGGTTCCAATTCCGATTTATGAGGTGTGACATTTTTGCGAAATCTATTAACGTCACCTTTAATAAGGAATCAAATTTAGAATCAGAAAACATATACAAAAATGTCAACAAAGACTCTTACTGTAGAATATTTTCGTGGCATCTTTGAAAAAGCGCGGTATATAATGTTCCAGCACTGATAACGTTATATTAGTTTCCTCCCAAGTGCCCACCACAGCATAATCCTGTTCTATATTACGTTTGGCTATTTGTGTGGCCGTTTGGGAATTAAATTGTCTAGGTTATAAAGAAATATTTTAACTAAAATTCTATTGAGAAAAATCTTAAGCTTTTGGCATACTTGCACACATTCTTATTGCCACAGAAATGTAGAGCAGCTCTACGCCAGTCCGCATTGAATGGATTTTTCGAATCAAATTTACACTCTGGTCTTTTGCCTTCCTTAACACAATCGTTAAAGGACATTCGTATTTCTTTTGCACTCATTGTACGATTGTATTTTTTCTTATAATACTCATAAACTTCTGGTCGTCGATTGTAGTAATAAGCCGACATTGTCTTTCTTAGGGGATGTCTTACCAGATTTATATAAATCGGTTTGGGTAGATCGTATTTAGTAAAATTGATCCAATTTGTATGTTCCGTATAAGACATGACTTCTTCGACATCATCTAGATCTTCGGCCATAGCCTTTTCTTCCTCTTCGGTGTAGGTAAGGCGAACATAGGCATTTTGTTTCATTATATGTGCTACAAAATTATTGGCATCTGCTAGTGCTTCCAGGAAAACTATCATACTTTGAGAGCCTACTTTTTCTAAACGATTAAAGAATATCCATTCCTTTTCAGCTTTAGCCGTATTATTTAAATGTAACGGCTTAAGTGTATAGAGCTTTTTGTTGTTGGAAAATTTAAAAGTAAAACAAATCATTTAACTATAAGCTTTTACTTTTTATAATTAACTTGTGCTTTACATAACGAAAAGTGCTCATAATGGGTTAAAGCTTTTGTGGAGAATTTCTCATAGTTTCTATTATAAAGGAAAAAGCTTTGGCAGTTTTGTAAGATAGATCTAAGAAAAAAGCTTTAAGGTATTTAAAACTTTTACTCTTTGTGGCAAAAAAGCTTTTTATGTAGTTAATATAAAAGCTTTTAGATCTGTAGTAATATTTAAAGTGAAAGCTTTTATAAATTTATATAAGTATTAAAAACAAGCCGTTATAAAGCAAATTTTAGAAGTAAAACTTTAAAGCATATTGTTTAGAAGAAAAGTAAAAGCTCTTAAAGTTATATTACAATAGAAAAGGAATCTTATTTAAAACAAATTATTACAGCAAAATCTTTTAAAAGAAATCTTTAGAAAGAAAGTATTTGGAAGATTTTAGAGCTTTAGTTAAAAGCTTACATGTTCTAAAGGTTAAGTTTTTAAAATGTTCATTAGTTGACTACAGCTTTCACAGAGAAAGCTTTTACTTTATAATTTTTTTTTTTCATTTTGGTCCAAAGTTGAATCAAGCCTCTTTAGAAAAGCTTTTTAATGAACTAAATAAACATATTAAAGCTTTTTGGAAAGCCTTTCATGGACGAAATGAAAGTAAATCTTTTTAAAGCTCTTTTATTAAAAATCGAAACTTAAAAAGCTTTTTAATGACATAAATAAAAATAAAGCTTGTTTATGAGAATGGTCGTATAACTCTTTCCTCAATAGCTTCTACGAAAGCTTTCATAAATTAATATTAACACTGAAAGAATTCTCCGAAAGCTTTTATTAAAGGAATTGAAGACCTTGAAAAATTTATAAAAAATAGTATTTATATAAAAATAGTAAAAAGTAGCTTTTTGGAAAGCTTTTCTATGGACTCAATATAAGATAAAAGCTTTTTTTTACGGAAATGATCATAAAACTTTTTATTTGAAGTCATTTCTTTATATGTTGAACATTAAGCTCAGCTGTTTATATTTAAAGCTTTTTTTTACTGAAAGCTATTTTTAAATATATTTAGGATTTTGAAAAATGTTGAAAAATCAGTGTTTAAATAAAAATGAGTACCAAAGTAGCTTTCTGGAAAGCTTTTTATAATCTAAATAAAAAAAGCTTTTTTGGAAACTTATTTATGAAAATATCCTTAAAGCCTTTCTACCTATTATAAAAAAATAAAATATTTATTTAGTTTTAAAAGCTTTTACACATGAACATTAAGCTCAGAGATTTATAACGAAAGCTTTCTCTGAAAACTTTTATAAAAAACTAATACTCAAGTAAAAATTATATTTTTTGGAAAGCTTGAATTGAATAGAAAATTAAAGCTTTTTAAAGAGCTTGTCAAAAAGCTTTCTTTTTTTTGGCTTTTATATACAAATTAAAATATAAATTCAATTTTGGTATCTTTCGCAAATGAACATTAATCTCAGAAGTTTACAACAAAAGCTTTCGCTAAAAGCTTTTATTAAACATATTGGAGTTTTTAAAAAATTTTTAAAAATTAGTATCTAAGTAAAAAAAAAAGTAAAATACCGCCAATGTCGCTTTTTTGGAAAGCTTTTTCATGAACTAATTACAAAATAAAAGCTTTTTCGAAAGCTTATTTATGAAAAAGTTTTCTTTAAAAGCTTTTATACATAAATTAAAACATAGCTTCATAAATTCATAAAGTACATTAAGCTTATTTGTTTATAATGAAAGCTTTCTCGGAAAGCTTTTATTAAAAGTATCAGAGACTTTCGGATATGTTTAAAAATCAGTATTAGAATAAAAATTACCACTTATGAAGCTTTTTTGGAAAGAAATAAAAAATAAAAGCTTTTTCGAAAGCTTTTTGATGGAAAGTACCATAAAATTCTATATAAAACCTATATAAATATAGTTTTGAACGTATTCACTAATAATGATTTAGTTTAGCTGTTTACACTGAAAGCTTTCCCGTAAAACTTTTATTAAATGAAATGAAAACTTTTTATTTTCATTGCTTATTAATTAGTATTTTTGTTTTTATTTTAATTTTAAATATTTTTTTTTATATATAAAATACATTCTACGTCAAAATATTAAACGGAAATATATTATATCCGCCAAATTTCTTCATCATTTCATCCTTTTTAATCGCTATATACTGTTTGTAAAGACGCTGTAGGCAAAAATTATACAATTCGATTTCAAAACCAAATTGTATTTTTAATTTTGCCTCCACTTCCGGTTCCAATTCCGTTTTATGGGGTGTGGCATTTTTATGGTATTTATTACCATCACCTTAAAAAAAATTCACCAAAAAATCATATAAAAACCTGAAAGCTAATTTAAACAATTTTTAAAAACAACTCTTACTATAAAATATTTTCGTAGCATCTTTGAAAAAACGTGGTATATAATGTTCCAGGACGGTTAGGGTAATATTGGTTTCCTCCCAGGTGCCCACCACAGCATAATCCTGTTCTATATTACGTTTAGCAATTTGTGTGGCCGTTTGTGAATTAAATTGTCTAAAGTATAAAACGAAATTTAACTAAAATTCTCTAGAAAATAATCACCGATATTCTGCATACTTGCACACATTCTTATTGCCACAAAAATGTAGCGCTGCTCTACGCCAGTCCACATTGTATACATTCTTAGAATCAAATATACACTCTTTAATTTTACCTTGTTTAACACAATCATTAAATGACAATTTTAAATTTTCTTCAGCAATTGTACGATTCCTTTTCTTATAAAACTCATAAACTTTTGGTTGTCTTAGGTAATAATAGGCCGACATTGTCTTTCGTATGGGATGTCTAACTAGATTTATATAAATCGGTTTGGGTAGATCGTATTTGGTAAAATTTATCCAATTTGTGTGTTCCGTATAAGACATGGCCTCATTGTAATCATCTAAGTTCTCGGCTAAGGCCATTTCTTCCTCTTCAGTGTAGGTGAGGCGCACATAGGCATTGTCCTTGATTTTATGTGTTACAAAATTGTTAACTTTTGCTAGGTCCTTTAATAAATTCATCATACTTTGAGAGCCTACTTTCTCTAAACGATTAAAGAATATCCACTCTTTTTCAGCTTTAGCGGTATTATTTAAATGGGACGGCTGTAGAGTATAAAGCTTTTTTTTGGGGGGGGAAAAGTTGGTAAGGAAGAAATCAATAATAGAAAATATGAAACGTAACATAATTTCTTAAGGCAGTTCTTTACTAAAAGCTGTTCAACTACGAAAGCTTTTTTAGTAACTAGTTAATGTGTTAAAAAGCTTATAACTGATTAAAGCTTTAACGTGTTACTTTTGCTTTAGTAACTCTACTAAGCTCTCGTAATCTTGTAATAAATAATAATAAACTATGAAAACTTTTGTGCTATGAACACTGGTGTATTTATAGTGAGTTTCTATATTAAAAAGCTCTGGTCACATGGTTGATATGTCGCAAAGCTTAATTTCGTTTACAGCTTTAACTCGTTAAATGTTTTGCACTAGATACTAAGCAGCGTTTTAAATACGAAAGCTTTTGAGATATAAAAAACCAGCAGGTTTCATTGAGTTTCTATAATAAAAAGCTTTAGTAACATGGGCAATATGTTAAAAAGCTTAATTTTGGCAGGATTTCTATTATATAAGCAAAAACTTCAATTGAATCTAATTTAGCTTAAAGCTGATGTCTAGTCTAGTCTAGTCTAGTCTAGTCTAGTCTAGTCTAGTCTAGTCTAGTCTAGACTAGTCTAGTCTAGTCTAGTCTAGTCTAGTCTAGTCTACAGTCTAGACTAGTCTACAGTCTAGTCTATAGTCTAGTCTATAGTCTAGTCTATAGTCTAGTCTATAGTCTAGTCTATAGTCTAGTCTATAGTCTAGTCTATAGTCTAGTCTATAGTCTAGTCTATAGTCTAGTCTATAGTCTAGTCCATAGTCTAGTCTATAGTCTAGTCTATAGTCTAGTCTATAGTCTAGTCTATAGTCTAGTCTATAGTCTAGTCTATAGTCTAGTCTATAGTCTAGTCTATAGTCTAGTCTATAGTCTAGTCTATAGTCTAGTCTATAGTCTAGTCTATAGTCTAGTCTATAGTCTAGTCTATAGTCTAGTCTATAGTCTAGTCTATAGTGTAGTCTATAGTCTAGTCTATAGTCTAGTCTATAGTCTAGTCCATAGTCTAGTCTATAGTCTAGTCTATAGTCCAGTCTATAGTCTAGTCTATAGTCTAGTCTATAGTCCAGTCTATAGTCTAGTCTATAGTCTAGTCGATAGTCTAGTCTATAGTCTAGTCTATAGTCTAGTCTATAGTCTAGTCTATAGTCTAGTCTATAGTCTAGTCTATAGTCTAGTCTATAGTCTAGTCTATAGTCTAGTCTATAGTCTAGTCTATAGTCTAGTCTATAGTCTAGTCTATAGTCTAGTCTATAGTCTAGTTTATAGTCTAGTCTATAGTCTAGTCTATAGTCTAGTCTATAGTCTAGTCTATAGTCTAGTCTATAGTCTAGTCTATAGTCTAGTCTATAGTCTAGTCTATAGTCTAGTCTATAGTCTAGTCTATAGTCTAGTCTATAGTCTAGTCTATAGTCTAGTCTATAGTCTAGTCTATAGTCTAGTCTATAGTCTAGTCTATAGTCTAGTCTATAGTCTAGTCTATAGTCTAGTCTATAGTCTAGTCTATAGTCTAGTCTATAGTCTAGTCTATAGTCTAGTCTATAGTCTAGTCTATAGTCTAGTCTATAGTCCAGTCTATAGTCTAGTCTATAGTTAGTCTATAGTCTAGTCTATAGTCTAGTCTATAGTCTAGTCTATAGTCTAGGCTATAGTCTCTATAGTCTAATCTATAGTCTAGTCTATAGTCTAGTCTATAGTCTAGTCTATAGTCTAGTCTATAGGATAGTCTATAGTCTAGTCTATAGGATAGTCTATAGGATAGTCTATAGGATAGTCTATAGGATAGTCTATAGTCTAGTCTATAGTCTAGTCTAT